TGACAGAGAGAGAGACAGCTAGAGAGGGAACACAAGCAGGGGGAGTGGAGGAGGGAGAAGCAGGCTTCCTGCAGAGCAGGGAGCCCGATGCGGGGCTCGATCCCAGGACCCTGGGATCATGACCTAAGCCGAAGGCAGACGCTTAACCATCTGAGCCACCCAGGCGCCCCAAGGGATAGTATATTTCTAACAATAGTATGACGTAGCACAGATGACGTTCTCCACCCAAGAAAACTGTGATTAATACCAAATAGAAACAATACCAAACAGACACACCAGTATTAGCTGCCTCTCATTACTGAGCACCTACTAGGTACAAAGCATTGCATTAGACACTTCAAGCATAATATTTCTAATTCTGACAATTCTTTAAGGCAGAGAGGATTCTCTCAAGATTACTGATCAGGACACTAAAGACTGGACATATTAAGTCATGCACATTAGAAGTGGTAGAGTAGGAACTTGACCCAATTCTGCTCAATTCCAAAGCTGAACCCTCTTCTCAGTATCACCCTGCCTATCCTTTGGTGTATGTTCAAAAAAATTTTTTTAAGCCCTTTTTCATGACTTTCTGGTTTTTTGTTTTGTTTTTGTTTTTTTAGTAAAAGGGAGTTGGGTGAAACAGGAAAAATTATGAGAAATAAAAGCAGGGGGAACTGCTTTTATATCAAGGATAAAGTTTATATTCTATATACAACAGAAAGAGGTATTGATATATTCTTGGAAAGAATGGTGTTTGTCACAAAATATATTTGATTGATCTTATTAGAGACTAATATTTTTAAAAGACTGATATGGCAATACTGCTGAACATGCCCATAAAAATGTCCCAAAGAAGTTTTATGTTGTTGAAAACTTCACCATTTAACTAGCAAGAGGATAAATGAATGTGAACATTAGTCCTTACATAAAGAAATCTATAAACTGATTATTAGTGTAAAACTATCTATAAAGATAAAGAAATAAAATGGCTAGAGGTGAGTAAGCTAAATTAAAGATGACTTCATGAAATAAAGAAATCTTAAGGATGAAACCAGATATTCACATCTTAAGAGGATTCTAGTGACTACATTTGAGTAACTGTATGAAGTTATGTCCACTACTGTTGATTTTTTCCTATTTTAGTACTAAATGTTTACTGGAAAAAAGTAAATACTTTATTCTTCAATTTATTATTACATTGAAAAGATGCAAACTTCTTAGTCGAGTTTCCAAAGCAATAGACTTTTGTTCAAGGCTGCCTTATTATTAGCAACTGTATTTGTCACCTGATTGCAAGCTAGCTCTAAAAGAGGCAAGTACTTGATTATGAGGTGAGTGACAAAGTCTTTATAACAAAGACAGTTCATTTTTTGCATCTGCACTGAGATGTTCAACAAAGTCAAGAATAAAGGAAATATTCTTGAGTTGATTATTTCTAGCTAAAGAGCATTTACTTTCTATCAAAGAAGAAACTGAGCTCAAGTCAAGTTCTTTCTACTGAGCTGTCATTTTTCCTGCTTTGTGATATAACAGCTGTGATTCTTTCTGGGAGACATAAAAGTAATTAAATTAGAATTTCATGGTGCTTTGCATCTCTAGGGATATTTCTTAAATTATCACTCATAAAAAAACTCACACACAAAGCAGGACAGTATAAGAAGAAAACTAGTGCCAAATCACTGTTAATTTGGTTTGTAGATGGGGGGAAAACCCTTTCTTCATTTCAAACTACTTATTTGTATATGATCCTTATTATAACAGAAAAGTCAGGAAGAAAATAAAATAACCCCACATTCTAACTATCTTCTTCCAGTCCTTTTCCTCTTCATTGACTTTTTTTTTCCAAATAAAGAGAATCATGTTATTTTTATAATCTGTTTTTAAATTTTGATTGGATAGCATGACGCATGTTACTATCAAAAATTTTTTTTTAAACCACCAGTTTCTTCTGGGTATATACCCAAAAGAACTGAAAGCAGGAAATGCAGATATGTGTACACCAATGTTCATAGCAGCATTATTCAAAATGGCCCAAAAGGTGAAAACAAGACAGAGGTCCATCAACGGATGAATGGATAAATAGAATATGGTGTATACATAAGATAGAGTATTACTCAGCCTTAAAAAAGAAAATTTTGACACATGTTACAACATGGATGGACCTTGAGAACATTATGGTAAGTGAAACAAGCCAGTTGCAAAAAAGACAAATACCATTTGATTCCACCTATATGAAATACCTAGAGGAGTCAGGTTCATAGAGACAGAGTAGAATGGTGGTTGCCAGGGGCTGAGAAGAGGGGAAAATGGGAAGTTGTCTAATGGGTATAGAGTTAGAGTTTTGTAAGATGAGAAGTGTTGTGGGTGGAGAGTGGTGATGGTTGCACAGCAATGTGAATGTACTTAATGCTACTGAACTATACTCTTCAAACAGTTAAAATGGTAAGTTTTACGGTACCTATATTTTTACCACCAAAGCCCATCCCCACAATTTTGAATGAATGATATTCCATCACATGGGGAGGTTATCCTTCGCTTAACATTTTCCCCAAATGTTGGACATTTAGATTTCTTCCAATTTTTTGTTACCATAAAATTCAGGTAGTAAACATTGTTGCAAACACACCTTTCTTTCCATATCTGCTGTTCTTTAGGATAGTTTCCAAAGGACATAACTGGATTAAAGAACATGAATTATTTCAAGGCTCTTGATGCATAATGTCAAATTGCTTCCCAGCAAGGTCTTACCAATTCATTCACTTTCCTAAGAGCAGTGTTAGGAGAGAGACCTTTCCATTGCATTCATGCCAAAATAAAGTATTCTCATCTCTTTTCATCCTTGCCAATTGATAACAACAAGAAAGCATAGCTTGGGATTTTAACGTGTACTTATTTGATCGCTCTTGAAAGTGAATTGTGTTCACATGTTTATGACCAATCTAAACTTACCCTTCCAATAACTGCCAATTCTCTCAAATCAAAATGTAAAACCCATATTCTAAGAAGGCTGGGAAGATGGGAGGAGACACATTTGGGAAAGCTCTAAAGGGCAGGTAAAAGTGGGGTCAGGAGTTTAAACTTTATCTTTAAGGATGTGAAGAACAGTAAAGATTTAGGAGGAAGGGAGTAACAACAAAATATGGAGAAAACCTAAACCTTTACTAAAAAGAGAATAAGCATATTATCAATTGTGGTTAATCTAGTCAACAACATGGACTCACGAAGCAGAATCTCCAGGGGCAAAGAACTCTCCATCCACATAGCTGAAAAACTCCACAAACAACTGTGATGTTCAGCCAGGCTTGGAAACGATTGCTTTCATTCGGTGAGTGAAATGACCCCATTCTTTCACATTCTCCTTCCTTTCAGCATAATGCTTGGCAAACATCAAGTTTTCTCACTCAACCCTCTGACAACTGAGTTACATAAAGCAAGCTTTAGTTGCCCTCCTTAGGTGCTCAGTACTTGTTAGCTGCAATTAGGAACCTCCACAGGGACATCCTGAATATTACCATTCCTGGATTTCAACTTGGTCAGGCCATAACAGAGCTTCATCCAATCTATCATTTGCTGGGTGTGACATTAAAGCAAGGTCAAGGCATGCATGCAATCAATTTACCAGGGTGCTTGCTTATAAAGCAACTGTGGGCACACTGTATGTTCTACCCGGGTCTCCAGGTCATCCTGGAGCTGTTGGTCCCTTAGGAACCATCTACATCTGGATATATATGAGCTAGGGGTCATGTTGAGTTACTACGAACTCTTCAGGCTTTGAGTTCTAAAAAAAATCATCTAAAATTTGGAAACTCACCTAACAGACACAATAAAGGACTGACCAAAAATGATGTCAGTGGAATGATGGTGATGTAAGACTCGGGGGGGGGGGGGCACAGAAGGTAGTGGAAATGGAGAGAACACAGAGAAAGATAACTTGAAGCCAAGAAAAAGAAAAAAAGGCTAATCTGCCAAATGGAAAATAGTCATTGGTCTCTATTTGTATGTCGATTGGCTTGTTACATAACTCTCCCAAAGTAAAGCCAACCCCATTAATAATGTAAAGACTAAGTAGTTATTAGGCACACATTACTGTTTGAATAACACTGTCACTGACGTAAAAGAAAATATTTGATAAGGCAAAGCTATCTGTCCTTTCTCAAGTTACTATGGAAAAACGAACATATTAATGCTAAAAACAGGCTTAATGCTTTCAATTTCCTGGGTATGGATCTTTTTTGGCATTACAACAGGAGACATGCTTACACTAATACTGTACAGGTACTTAATCTCCTGTCAAAGTTCTGAAAATGACTTCATATCTCCCCTTAAGAATGAGAATACTGGGGAGCCTGGGTGGCTCCGTCATTAAGCGTCTGCCTTCGGCTCAGGTCATGGTCCCAGGGTCCTGGGATCGAGCCCTGCATCGGGCTCCTTGCTCCGCGGGAGCCCTGCTTCTCCCTCTCTCACTCCACCTGCTTGTGTTCCCTCTCTCACTGTGTCTCTCTCTGTCAAATAAATAAAATCTTAAAAAAAAAAAAAAAGAATGAGAATACCATCATGTCTAAAACCAAGTATGATTTCAAACAAGCATGGCCTATCCCATGTGACCCCACAACAGCTCTGGCATGTGAAATTTAAATAAGGCCCCTGTAAAAAGTATACAGACTCTGCAATTTTTCCCTCATCAGCTAAATGTTCAGCTAGATGCAGAAAGAAGAGAAAGAAAACCCTTAGGAATATTTTAGGAAAAGGGAAACTTAATTTAGTTAGTGTCCATGTTGAACACGGATAAACATAACAATATATAAAGAAATACAAACTATTTTCACATATTCTACACTAAAGCTATAGCACTAGATGCCTACTAAAACCAGGACTTTAACATATGTTGTTTCTTTTAATTCTCACAACAGAGCATTTATTCCTCCAAAAACAGTAAGTCTAAGCCAGTTGGAGTTGTAACAATCCTGTCCTCCTTCCCAGTGATTTGTGTAGTATTGGGCTGACGATGGAATACTAGAAGCGTAAAGAAATGTAAGGAAAGTCTGGGGTAGGTTTTTATGAGCCTGCTTTCCCAGTTCTAAGAAAAAGATGGCCTCCTTTCCTCTCCAGACCTTGGTATAGCTAAGTTGGATTGATGCCTGGAATGGCCGTGGCCACTTTGCAACCCTAAGAAAGCCAGCCGGAGGACAGAGCCACCAACAGCAATAACGAGGGAATAGAACTCAGCCGACATTTTTAAGCTGCTGACTCAACCTACTCCAGACCCAGCCTCACTTCTGGACTTCAATTCATTGTGTTATTGTTGAAGCCCATCGGAGTAAGGTATTCTGCTACTTTTAAGATGCTAAGAGCTTCCTAATTCCTGCAGGTAAGTATTATCCTTATTTTTTAAGTAAGAAAATGGAATTTCCTAAAGGTTATCTTGCCTAAGATCACACTGTCTCCAAGTGTTGACTCAATATTTATCTCATATCAGTCTCCCAAAAGTCCTCTTCCACAAAACAGTACAGACATTCCCGGAAAGGTCTGTTCCTGGAAATTCTAGGAAAGAGAGCCTAGGATGTAGTAAAAACAACACTGACTCTGAAAAATTGGATTTGAGATTTTTATTAATAACAGGATGTCAAAAAATTCACTTAAGTTCTTCGAGTTTCAATGGCCTTGCTTGTAAAAATGGGAGGAAAAAAAGGTCAGCCTTGCTTTCTTTACAAGGTGCTTCTAAGTCTGCAACAGTTAACAGCATACACAGAAACCTTGTGTCGACTCTGAAGTTTAAGGGATTGGTAATTATTTCCACCAATTGAACAAATACTGCACATAACAAAATGCTCCAAGTAAGCCACTCTGCATGTGAATTCAGCATGACTATTTCATGGTTACTTCTTTGTTGGATTAGGTTAACAAAGGAATCGCGGAGATAATCTTTGCAATGAATTTTCCATGGCTCTCCAAGTCATGGTACATAGTATTTCCTTGGGCCATTCTAGTTAAGTCTGTCATTTCACAAACTCTGTGGCCTCTTTTAAGGATGTGAGTCTAGGCTTTGGGGTCATAATATTTCCTACTTTGAAAGCTGAGTATCCGCCCAGCGTCACTGTCTCATCTCGTGTGATATCCTCTCGCAGCCCCAAACATCCTCTAACCAGAGCCTATGACCGACACCATGACTGTTTTCTCTTAGATTTAACTTTATGTTGAACGGCTATCATAAAAAGCGACAACCTCTTCATGACTAAAAGCTAAACTCAGTTTAATTCCGTAAAGGTCAAAAAGGTGTTTTTTCCTACCTTAAGTTGGATTATAGAAATTTAAGTACAGAAAAAATAGCATTATTTTACCCAGCCTCAAGAGCTTCAATGGACAAAAATAACGAAGGAAGTGACAATAAAAAACAGTAAATGTCAGAGAACTAGTCCTTTTTTATACTTAAATCAGCAGGATGCATTCATTCAAACCACCCAGCCTCTGTCCCAGATAAGATTCAACAACAAAAGTTTGTTCTAACAGAAGAGAAAAAAAGAATTTTTCTAACAACGTATCACAATTCTGCAAACTTAAAAAAAAATCTAAACCATAAACTTTTTTCTTACTTCCTATTTTTGTACTCTGACCCCCTAGGCAAAGCTCTCAGAAAACAGATGTGCGCAGGCGTAAAATGGTGCCTTGCCACAATGCCCGCACCGGATTCGATGCTCAGAGGAGTGCAACGCTTTCTCCCTCTGACATGGAGCAGAACCCTGAACTCATCAAAGGTGTTAAAATGGGGAATTGCAAGAAAGAGCTTGATGAGCCACTGAAATCACAACTGCTTGGGGCTCTTATACTCTTGAGTGAAAGTTCCTATCCTTAAACCGTCCGTGGTCAGTACATCACTGTCTCTGCAAGCCAACAAAAAATGATTCAGGCCATGGGAAATGTCCACGGAAAGAGGCCTGAGGGACTGACTCCCTGCCACGACATCCCTCCCCTTGGCCTCGCACCAGCATTTGACAAGTGAAAACTCAGGGAGTTACACGGCTCAGACAAAGTCAGTGGAAACATCCCTGTGGGACCCATGACTCAGGACATACATAATCTTGGGTAAATCTGGCAGGATGTCTCATAACCTCAGGAACACCCTCTTGTGTCAGCACCTTGACAATGTGCTTTTCACTTCTCAGCTCGAACAGAAAGGGAGGTTAGGGACAATGCCAACACACCAACATGAATGAGTGTGTTTGCAGCACTGTGGGAGCTGGATCAAAACATTAAGAAATACCGAAGAAGCTTTACAAGTGTGAGGGCATGAAAAAAAACCCTACTTAAAAAGGGAGGGGGGGACTTCTTATCCATCCTTAGGACAAATGGATGTATGAATATACATGACAGTAATGGCAGGTTATGGATAGGTAATCTACAGTAAAAGTGACATTCTTTTAATACCAAATAAGTCTGTGAGTGACACAGGATCAACTCCTAGGGACCCTACCATTAAAAGGCTTTGATCTCTAACAGCCTTCCCTGCTCTTACTAGAAAATTAATGGACAGCTTAAAATGAAATCATAAGAATTTCTGACATCTTCAATTTGACCTGAAGACCTTGAAACACAAAGCTCTTTTGAGAGACAGTTAATAGTCTTCAGCTAAAGGAGAACCATAAAAAAGAAGCCAGAATCTGGAAGTATAGAGAGTTAAAACAAAAACACACTGGGAAAAACTCTGTTCCTTAACTGAACTTTATGTGACCTTGAAAGCTCTCAGTAGTCTAAACTGTTTGATTTTCAAATAGGGAAATGCTTTATTTTATTCCTGTGCATCATGCACACTAACTTCATAGGAGATGTTTTCCATTTTAATTCACTGACCATGAAACTTAGGCTTGTGAAGATTACCTAGGCATTTCATTATCACTACCTTATCAAAGGATTTATACTGGCACAATGTTTCCAAGTATCAGATTCTAATTCTCCTACAACTAAGAATTTTTTTTTTTAAG